GTTTTGATGCCAAAATAAGTATTATTTTCCTGCTTGAAAAGGTCCCGCAGACAAGAAAGCTATGCTTGCAAAGCCATAACTGTGTCAAAGAATAAGTTATTACTGCCTTAGCGTCAGGACAGCTATCAAAAGAGTTGCCTTTCAAATATGAACTTAAATAATATAGAAAAATGCATAAAATGTTGTTTCATTAGTTCCTTGTTTGGCGGTTCTTTCATTATATCACACTCATGGTGAGAGGATAATCCCTTTAGCTCAACAACAACTTATGAACCATGTTCTCTCAATTAGAAATAGCTTATTTTCTAACAAAACAAAAGCCATAAACGCTCCTGCCTCCAGCTCATAATGATTTTCTATAAGTAAGTTTATCAGAGGCATAATAGAAGGAGGGAGCTTGGTATGAAAAGAAGTGACACAGACATGGAAGATATTTCTGATAATACAAAGCTAGATTGCTGTACACATCATGTGTGAATATTTCTACTGTTTACCAAAAGCCTGCTACTCAGTTGCATGAAGTAACTGCAAATGAAGTTAAATTTTCTTGACTTTCTGACAGTTTGGGGCTTCACAAAGAAATGAGTTTTGGAAAGCTGGAAATGGGAGGGAGGTGTAGCTGGAGGAATACTTTTAAAACCCTTATATTCAGAAACACAAAGAAAACAGTGCAAAGGAGAAAACTGCTTTTGTGGATCTAGTTTATTAATAAGCATTGGAATTAACAAGACAACATGCTGTACAGAAACCTGAAATAGAACTACTGCAAATTTACTGGACTTTAAATGCTGCTGGACTGTAGTATATGATGTCCAACTGCATGATTTGTAAAGTGTGGTTAGGGCTGTTTCAATACACAGACATACACTGCTCACTCCCAGATCCTGTAGTATGCCATAGAGCAGGGAGATTTCCCAGAAATACAAACTCAAATATTTACAAGAAATCATCAATCTCTTTCTTCACTAGGGATAACATAAGTTATACACAATTTTCCTACGTATACCAAATAAAATCTTTGCCTTCAACTTTACTCTGTGTCTGCACAAACCAATCTCTTCCTTTTTATTTATCCAGTTAAATAATGGTAGTAAACTGCAGTGCAATCATTTAATTGATACTCATTCATTAAGGATTGGTATTAAAGCTGCAAAAGAAAAACTTGAGCAAAGAAAGTCAAGTGTAAATTTTCAAGCTTTAAAAACTCAAACTTTATAAGCTTGAATCAAACAACCTTGAGCTAATCAACCATTACTGACTAGAAATTATTTAGGTCTACTGTCTTTGGCTTGACCACGCTGGAAGCAGAGTAATAATGGTAGCTCGAGGCTGATGGGGTTCCACGCTGGATTACAGCTTGCTCAGAATACAACAGAGCAAACTGTCACTTCTCTTACAAAAAACCCAAACAGGTCTATCCACGCTGGGGTCTCAGATGTCTGATACAAAGTGGCTGCTCTCCTCCAGCCCTACGCCAAGCAAAAAGACCTGGCTGGATTCGGAACCACATAACCAATGTTATGTCAAGCTAGCTGTCATGCTAACATTCATAAGCCCTCAGGTCCTATTAGCATGGGCTCATTGCCAGGATAATTAGCTAAATGACCTGCATCCGGCCAGCTCGCAGCCCAGAGAGAGCAGGTGCTCAGTAGTCTCTGTCTGGCCAAGCAGACATGCCTAATTATTCTTTCTTTAGAATTAAGTTACACTTCAGAATACAGCACAGTTTCGGAAAACAAAGAAACAGCGTATTTTACTTCAAACCGTTTGACTTCAGTTCTTTAAGTTTTTTTTTTTTATAATTGACTACTTTACAATATGGAAAGAAGTACCTTTCTTTCTGCCACCACTACCTGTAACTTTGACGCAATACTTAGAAGTGCAACAAGCACGTATTGAGTTGGGGGGGGGGGAATTACCTAGGCTAGACTGTGTGACACATTACTTTGAAGGCAAAGGTTTTCCTTTATTGTTACACTGTATGAAACAAATCTAATCATGTAACTACCATTTTACTGTATATTGTATATAGGATTGTTTTCTCCACAAATTCACACAAGTAAGATAAAATAAGTTAAATGACTAAAAAAAAATTACACAAAAATATACAGTCTATGTACTAGATAAATTATTTATATATATGGCAAGATGTGTAAAGAGTCTCTAGTAACTTTATTCCTCTGGATACTGACATGCCACTCAAAAATGTCGCCTCAAATGCATAGTTTTATATATTAGATATGTAGTATATAAAAATGAGGGAACCATTTAACTCCTGATACAACATGTATTTACAATTAATTGTTCTATATCTTGTTGACAGACTTTTAGAATATCACAACACAATTTCATGGAGATAACATTTAATACTTCCTATAATCAGACTCATCATTACAATGCTGTTTGTTTAAGCAATTTTTTTTTGTTGTTTGGTTTTGGTGTTTTGTTGGGTTTTTGTGAGAAAGGGGGATGGTTAATTGCTTCTGTACCTTAGGGAAAAAAAAAACCAACAAAACCCTAAACATTCAAATGTGAAGTTTGTTGGGATTTTTTTCCCTACCTATGAAAAAACACTAATTCTGGTTCCTTCACCTTCTCCTGTGAAAATCCTAAAATGGTAGAAATGAGTTCTTTGCCAGAAAACTTCAGTTACAATTTTCAGCCAGAAAGGAAATGTTGCAGGCAAAAAAATTGAGAGTTTTCCAATGCAGCTGCCAATTCTGTAAACATTTGGTATGGCAGCCCTCTGTAATAAAAACTAAAGTCCTCTGCTTACAATAGGAAGCATTAGCTGTCAGCATTATTCCTAATTTGCACAATTAATATGTTTGGTAAATCTGTGTAAACTACAGATAAGCCTTTTTTGCGTATCTCTGAAAAGGACTGCTGAATTTTCTCATCGTGATGTCTCCAAAGCAAACAACAAAGGGCTTTGTATGTATTAGGTAAGAATTAATTTGTCAAATTTTTAATTGTTCTGGAATTGGAAATATGTTGTGTCAGCTATTGTGTGTCAGTACCCAAAGGATTATTATTTTTTTCCAGGATTTACATGCAACTGGAAGCCAGTGTGCCACATCTTTTCTAAACGTTATTGAAAACTACATTAAAAAAAAAGAAAAGAAAAGAAGTACATCATTAGATAATCTGATGTTCATTAATTAAACCCTATCAGTAGGTTAAAAGTGAAGCTTCTTTCATTTTGCACATAAAATCTAAATGTGATTTGAATAGATTTACAGTGGGGACAGCGATATATAAAGCTACTTATACCTGCTGGGCACATAAGAGAAGCTCTTTTAGCATTCATTGGAAACCCTCAACAACTTTAACTTCCATAAATTTTACAAGCAGCTAATATTACAGCATTTTTACACACAGTTTTGTTTATAAATTACAGATTTAAGTTACAATATGAAGCCTACATAGAATTCTATCCATAGGAAATATTCACACACTGTCTTTTTTCCCCTCCATACAACTTCGATTGTCTCACTTAATGTAGCAATAAAACTAAACAAAGTTATGCAGTTTTTAAAAGAAAAAAATTCTTGGTATGTACATACTGTAAATGATGAAATGGCCGAACAGCAACAAAATACTAGAAGGAAAATGTGTTTTTTTATCTAAGAAAGGAATGTCCTTTTCATCCACTGTAGAATTTACCACCTTTTTCCTGCCGCTATTAAGAATATATCCTCCAGTACACAGAACACTGAAAAAAATCCCTCATCTTTAAAGAGAATCATCTTGAGACTTTATCAAATAATATGATTGGGGTGTGTTTACGATTACATTTATCCAGCTTTCATTACCTATATTATGCTTTCTTTGCTGAGAACTGTCAGTCATTCTCTAGTAAACTAAGCCACAATGATGAGTACTTCTTCATTTAATAGGTTTGTGGTGAAGTAACTAATATTATAGCTAACCTTTACTGAATACTTACAATAGGTGAATATAGCTGTAAAAAAAAAGCCGTATATATCACTATAATATTCTTTTAAACACCAGTAGCTTGCAGCCACAACATCACATCAGCCAAAAAAACTACCCGATTTTCCTACTGTTTTCAGCAGTGCCCATGTAATTTTCAACTCACAGGAACAGTAGCCAAAGCAAGCTCTTCAAGATGAAAAAAAAATTAAAAAAAAACCCTAGAAATAGACTTATGGCTTGAAAAGCACAATATGTATCATATTGTTGCTTGCGTTATTGTAGAAAGGAAAATTTTGGAAATTAAAAAAAATATAATTTTTTTCCAGTTTTGATCGTGCATATCCTATCATTGTCATGTTGTTTATTTCAGACAGAAAAGCCTCGCTGAGAGCTTTCTGTTTCTTTTATTGCATTCTTTCAAAGAATAAATACCTGTAGATTGAGCCAATACAACTTAAAATCAAAAGCAGTTGTCATGTCTTTAAGTACATTTTCCTTCTTAATTATGTAGAAGATAAATTTTGGTGGAAAGATATACCATCCTTCTTAAGAATTCGATTTTAGGATCTTATTCATTCTATTATGTAAGGTAATCAAATGAGAAATTGCCCACTTGATCTCTATTGCTAAGGAAATGGAAGATGAAATCTATGAATATGCTATAAATTATAACAACAAAGAAAAGATTGAGTAAGCTATATTTAGACTGTAATATTCCCCAAACTGTACTAAGAAATTGCTTTCAACAGGGAGGAAGAACTGCTGGCAGATATTTGCACTATATGGCCCATATAAGAAAATGAACAGGATTTTGTGTTTTTCTTTTGATTGTTTCTGGGTTGTGGGTTTTCTTCCCCATTTTGTGGCTTTTACCAAGAACTATGGTAAGTTTCTTTTAACTAAGTCCTAACGATTTAGCTTTTCAATTTCAAATTTAGGATTCTATATACATAAATATTCACAAGCCTAACAAATTTGTGTACGCACTAAGAACAGTGTTAGGCTGTGACTATATACACTCACACTTAAAGCCTGAAGTAACGGATTTGTCAGATATGCATTTATAGCTGGTGCTCATGTATAAACGTAGTGCTACTCCCAGACACCGGTGGCTGGTGGGTCGCGGCGAAGTTTGCCAGAGGAATGACTTTGACAGGATCTTCGCTGGCGCAATGTCTTTCGCAGGTGTTGTAGAACTGGGGCCTGGGCCCACCTTGGCCTTTGTCAGTGTCGTCCTTTGGAAGGGGCCTCCCAAGAGTGTGTCGTCCCTCAGGCCTGGCTCCTCGGCCCCAGCCTTGCTGGAAGCCAAATGACGGCAAAGGGGTGTTGGACTGCTGATACTGTGTCAAAGAAGGTGGCATCCAGCAGTTGTCAGAATGGCCTAGGATGAGACACTCCTGTGTGCAGGTTTCAGAGGCTTCAGCCAGGGCTTTCTGGAGATTTACTTCGATAGCTGGGAGGGTGGAAAAAGACAAGACATTTTCAGAGGTCTGAAGACTGATGTGCACAGGGAATCAAGGTTAACAAAGCAATCCCAGTTCTACAATAATGGCCACAGTTTGGAAAGAAAATACCTCCAGGTGTACAACTTAAGCGAAGGTTTAGAGGTTTGCAAGTTTGGGGCCCACAGTGTTGTCATTGGCTATCATCAGAAAAAAGTTAATGTTCAATGAACAGATGATACCATCATTACAGCTATGTAAGTAATGCCCTTATACATTCTACTTACAATGACCTTTTCACTTTCTGAAATTGTCATTTGTGTAATAAAGCTACAAGCTTTATAATAATCTAATACCATAATTCTATATATTTGCATACAACTACTTGAAAAATTATAATTATTAAAATTAGGAATTTTTTTTTAATGTTCTCTTAAAACTGGGTTTTTTGATTGTTTTGCTTTGCTTAAGGCAAAACAAAATTAATCTGGACACATAGCCAAAGATGGTACATTGGCTTCAAAGATGCACTCAAGAGCTTTAAGAATGAAAGACAGCGTAACAGCTATTTTAAAGAGAATTGATTTCTCCATGCATTTGATACTGGAAACCTTGAAAAATCAAAGGGTAATAGCAAAAGAAGCTGTAACCTCTGTAGTTTACTCGTAATCGAACCAGATTTCTTCAGTAGATGCAAGGTTTGTGCCCTTGAAAAAGGATTATAGAAATTGTAATTTTTTCAAAGGCTAAGGAAACTATTAAATCTGAAAGACATAATTTGCAATACATAAACAATCTTGATAAGTTACATTTAAACTGTGGCTTTACCATGTTGTGTAAATTCAAACTAATAGAATTAAACTTCTACAAATCATTCCTTGCAATAGTTTTCATATTATATGTGTTAATTTTATATTCTCTTGCTGTGCACGTGGTTTAAATACACCAGGAGTGAAGAAGAGTATCTGATTAGATATTTTGCTGCGTTGTCTTCAGAAAACTTTCCAATGAAAGATATATACGTATTTTTAATATCTGTCTTCATGAAAATAACATTTAAAATTGGATTCTGGCTTATAACCACTGGAGAAGGTGTGCCGCTAGGAATTACTTATAGCAATACAAGTTCTGAGTAGGAGCCTCTCACCCTCTGAGCTTTATGTTTAAACACACGCTTCATTTATGTTTTAGTAAATACTTTGCATGTTGAAATCTGTGTAAAGCTACAAAGCACAAATACATATTTCCATGTTACATCTCAATACAAATGAATTAAGTTTTTCCTTCAGGCATTGAAATATGTAATGCTGCTGTCCAAAATACAGGATACATCTTTTTTACATCTACCACGTTTAAGTAGACAACTGGTTGCTTGTTGTATCGTGAATGCTATATTCTTGATTATTTCTCCTTAAGTACGTTGTATGAGTATGTGCCAGTTAGAGAAATGATTGTTTATAAATGCTATTTTGCCCTATTACTGGCATTTCAACATGTCTTCAGTCATTTTGTCTCAGTATTTTTCAGTGTAATCCTGACAAAGCTTTGGCACCTTGCTGTTGAAATACTAATCCAGTTTTGATGGGCAGTAGGAGACATAAATATGGAAATCATTCAGCAGAGGCAATAGTTCCTGCAAAAAAAAGTTACTGCCGGTAGATTAGTCTAATCTTTCTGTGTCCTACTATCTGCTATTAGAAACATAAATTTGAGTATATACAAGTCTTGTTAAGCTCTTTAATTATCCAGGTTTGCTTCTCTTCTGATCAAGGCAATTCACTGAAATCAGGTACAACCTTGACAGAGTGTTGAGTTATCCCTGTTTCATACAGAAACTGATCTTTTTTGTATTTATTAAAACCACCTTTTTGATACCCAGTACCTCAGTGTTTCTTTTTATCTCATGGCTTTCTAATTGCTCTTAAGATGTTCTAATTGCTTTTAAAATGCTATTAATTCAGTTAAACTTAAAAAACACACCATTATTTATTTGGAAATAGTACTTACGCATTACTAGCTCTTCACAGCAAGTGGTTACAATACTTATATTGTACTATCTCTCTCAAACTTCAGTAAGAGAGTAAACACAGCTAAACCATCAAAAGAAGCGTTTGGCAATAAAAACTTAACATTTAAGCTTTAGACAAGGCAACTGCAGAAATAAAAGGTCATTTATAAAACATTCTCTACACCATCTCGACAGATCAGTAGGACAATAATTTTGAGCCATGAGTTGCCAGACTACCTGTAGACCTGGAACATGTTACCATGCTAAGACTAACAACATTGTCAGAATGACAGTCTTGTTTATTCTGTTAATAAAGAGATATTTTTATCTGAGTTTTAGTTTTAGCAAAAAAACTTAACAAAAAAAATAACAAAAACTTTAGAACAATCCTGGGCACAATCATAAGTTATGCATACAAATTATTTTGGCTTTGAGTTGGGGTTTCGTTACGCAACAGTCTGCCAATGCAGGACTGTTTGGAAGATACACTTTTTGTAGCAGTCATAATCTTTCTTTCAATGTTGGTATGTGGTACACGTAATCTTGATTGTCAGAGTAAGTTTTTCATCACTGCTTATGATTAATAACACGTACAATATACAGTTCTCATTAACTTTGAAGAGTTAAGAACCTTTTCTACTGAGCACCTCTGCAGGGCTGCAGAACAACAGGAAATAAAAAAGTATTTAGCAAATAGAAGTACTTTTCTGTATGATGTCTGACTCAATTTTTTTCCAGCAGTAACAGTCAAGTTTTGTTTTATAATATACTGCACTCATTTAAAAAAAAAGAAAATAATTAAATTTAAAAAAATCAATTATATCCTTAGCCTCTAGACTACCTTTAAAAGGAGTACAAATTTAAAAAAAATAACAACACAGTTTTGTGGGTTTTTTAATCCAAATCACCTGCGTATAGGCCATAGCATTAGTGCAACCATGAGGCAGTCTTTAGGAGACTGGGTATGCTGTAGGAAACCAAATTAACTAAGGGTGTTACAATGAATATGGTGTGAAGCAGGCAAGATCCCCAATATCTGCATTTAAAGGAAACTTAGGAAATCTCATCAACTGATCTGCTGCAGTAAATAGTACTAGCAAGGATAATTGGGATGCAAACCAGTTTCTGTTTAGTGTAAAGTAAAAATAAATATAACCAGCAGTGTGAAATATTATGTTTTTAGCACAATGAAGTAAAAAATGACTGTTGGAGCATAATTCATCTGGTTTTGAATGAACCTAGAACAAAATGTAGGAAATCTTCTGCATGAATATTCACCAGGCATTATCTTTTTTGCCTGCTCTTCCAGGCCATAAAATGTAGCTTCTTTCTGTCAGTCTAATTCATTCTCTATTTTCCTAACATATCATCATTCTCCTGCTTCTTTAGCACCTGAAATCCTTCTAAATAGCTACTTGGCACTGGCATTGCACTGTCATCTAAACTATGCTTTACTTGTTAATCATACATTTTTAACAATTCCCTATTGTATCGAAGAAGAGAGCTTTATGTTAGCAATGTATTATACTAATGGTGCCAACTTACAATAGAATGCAGCTGATTTCCAAGTATTCTGTTACAGACTTAACACGCAAGGACGTCACTGTAACTAGCACCAAGACATTGTCCTCAGCACCGTATCTGGCTTCCCCTCCACCACTTGCTGCCTACCTTAAACAAAGGATTCTCTGGCTGGCTCAGCCGAGCATCCCAGAGGACCATCTGAGGAGGAATTCAAGCCACGCAGCTCGGTGAGTGTGAAGTTCAGTGCTCAAGTGGCCATTTATCAGAGGATGTGTAAATTGACCATGGCATTTTCTAGCTGCTACTCTTTAAGCTCCCTTCTATTTTGCACCCTTGCAAGTCATTGCTAAATGTGGGTGAAAATAAAGTTTTCTGAGCCCTTCTCTCTCATCTGAAAGTACTAATGTAGGCGATTATTCTGCATAGTCCGATAAGTGCTCAGTGGTAGGAAACATCTGTGACATCTGCCTCTACCAATCAAGTAAAAGAAGGTTCCTGCTGTCTCTGAATATTTTCAGAAGAAATTATGGTTTTTGCTACTGAAATTCAGTGTCTAGTAACATCTTCTCACATAAGATATGACAAGTTTATAAATGGAAATAGAAGTGTACATATCCCCCATGTATGATGAATAAACAATACATTCCATCAAACTCTTACCAGTCTACATCATTTTTTACTTCAAGCAGTAATAAAGCCTTAATTTTATATATTTTTTTCATGCTAAATGGAGACTCTTCAACCATGACAAACAAGTAGTATGAAAGAGAATTTTTAATTCATAGAATAGATCACACTTATGCACATGTGAGTTTACCGCTTTCATTTGAACTCCAGATTGTTTTAGGAATAAAACTATTTTTTAAATTGTCTGCCTCAGAACTAAGAGCATTTTTAAAGAATGTGTCTGTCAGCTCTTAAGAAATGTTTAGATCAGAACTGTCAAATATAACTAAAAGCACAATAGTTAAAAGACTTTCTTCATTGTTCCACAGTCTTTATCATTTATAGGTCAAAGCAGTTTTCAGTAAGAATATTTACTTTCACTTAAGAAAACGTGGAAATCCAACCTTGCCAGGTAGCTATCTTGCAATCAAAACAATTATAAAAAAATACCATTTGATTTTTTTTTCCTGTTTGTTTTTGTTAGGGACTTTGTGGGTATAAAAAGCCTGTGTAGGGTTTTAGAGATAGTAAAAAAAAATGTTCGTTATTATCTTTGCTTTTGGGGGATGAAAGCTGAAGAGCTCTACAATGCTACTCTCCCTCTCAGTCTACAAAATATGTTTTTAGTGACTTTCTGTGGTTATAAAGCCTGTGTAGGGTTTTAGAGATAGTAAAAAAAAAAGTTCGTTATTATCTTTGCTTTTGGGGGATGAAAGCTGAAGAGCTCTACAATGCTACTCTCCCTCTCAGTCTACAAAATATGTGGCACAATACTGCATACTTTGGCATTTCCAGCTTCATATTATGTTCCAG